TGGTCAGGTATTGCACTGCCATATGTAGGTACTGTTTGGGCTTAATGGGCATTCTGCTCACAGTGACTTCCAAGACTCAACGTACAGGCGCCTCGCTTTAGTTTTCTTGGAGCACTGTATTATTAATGACTGCCTTATCAGCCAGAGTAAAACCGGTTTGCTGATCTGAAATGGAAGCATTTGTTAGAGATTATCTGCAATATTTGTGTAGCTGGAGAAGGAGGGTGGCATGTTTATGAATGCAAAATATACACTTAAAGCTGAGTGCCAGCAAATGCTCACATGCCACTTTGAATGCAGGTTTATTGTGCACCTGGCATCCCAGCTCAAACCCTCTTAACAAAGAGGAGAAAAAAAATTGGAGGCAACACAAACATAGGAGGTGTTTTTCTGCTGTCAGCTAGCAGCTATAGATTCACTTTTTTGTGACATGATCCTATTTTATTATTTTTATTTTTTTTGCTACACCTGTTCAGTGTATTGAGTTCAGTAGATTTTTACAGGAAAAATAGAGGCTTGTGACTGTCATTCACATAGTTTCTTTGATTTGAGACCACTTGTTTTATTCAGCGGAATATGGTAATCATAGCTATACATAATTACATCTGAAAATGGTGCTTTATTTCTTGCTTGAAAAATGGTCAGCTTACCTTCCAAGTAATCTACTGTATTTATCTTAGGTACTGACAGAGACAGTTGCTGAACTATTATGTGGGCAGTTTGTAATGACTGATATTAGGTTACGTATGGTAGATAAAGGATGATATGTGTTAAAGAAAAAAAATTTATAAACTTCAGTAGATCCTACTAATTTACTTTACAATCTTTAGCTTTTTACATTCTCCTTGATAAATTCTAACAGAGTCTTGGAAAGAATAGCTCCTTAATCACAAGTAATGCACTTCAAATAGTCCTATCATTTGAAATAATTGTTCTTAAAAAGGCATTTCTGTTGCCCTGATATCCTACCTGAGCTTATTTATAATATATTCTCCTCGTTCTAGTGACAAGAGCAAGTGCTTACACTGTCGATAGACCTGCAAACCCAAAACAAAGCTTTATTCATATGAGAGCTATACATCAACAATGTGTGGTAGTTCCAGGTTCAGGATGTATATCTTAGTGAGGGCTAGGTCACTAATATGTGCTGTGCTCTTTAAGGTGTCCCTGTGTATGGTAGTCTCTCATTTGTCCATTTAGAAATTTTTGCTTCATCTTTAAATATCTTTAAATCTCTGTATTTCTCCTCTGGTTGCTGCTTCTGTTTGTTCTTCTTGGCTTCCTCCAGGGTCCCTGCTCAGATCAGCATAATGGAGTAGTTCTGAACCTGCATATTCCTCCCTCCATTTCTACCCCACCAAAAGAAACCCCAGAGCTGAAAATCCAAGTTAGAGAAATGTTCTCAAGATACAGCAGAGAACAATTTTAGTTCGTTGTCTCTTTTTCTGTATTCAAATATAGTTCAGCTAAAAACTACAAACCCTGGTGCTATAGGTTAAACTCTGACCCTCTGTAGGAATTTTACTGTTCACCGTTAACAGCACTGCATTTTGCTAGGACCCTAGCTTTTGTCCTCAGAGTGCAAGACTTCTCGAGGTAATGATTTTGGCCTGTTGCTTAAACATGTTTTGTACATTCCGAGCTACCAGTGAAATCTGTCAGGACCGTGCCTGTGTTGAGATTGTAAGATCTGATCAGTTACTAGTTCACCCCTTGCAGTACAAAGCCCCATGTGCTGGAGTCAGTCTGTAAATGTGTCTCCTCTGCCAGTGCTGTGAATTAACACTGCAGAGCACACAAGGTGCATATAAGAAGAATTTGCAGAGATCATAATGCTGCATGCATAAAACTGGTGCACTGTTTGTCTGTTTGTAGGAAGTTTTAAGGACTGGATGTTTGTTTAAGCTCTGCTCTGAATCCCTGAACAAGAATTACTGGGATTGCAGTAAAGATTTCAAAAGCTCCCCACATGTCTTCATCTTTAAACCCTTCTAAAGATTATTTGAACTATTTTTTAATATCTCCTTGTTTCCATGCAAGAGTTTCACATCTGATCAAGTCTTATTAACTCCATATGTTGCAAGGAGCAGTCTGAGTTTGTTTGTTTAAGCCTCAGTTAAAGGAAGTTGTATCTTTAAATACTGTACAGCAAGCCTGGAAGAGCTCCACAGAGGGGAAAGCACAGCTGTTCTATCATGGTCTGTCATGGTTTCCATGTGTCCCGTAGGCAATATCTTTCTTAAACTCATCTTGAAAATTACCCAATTCCTTATGCTTGTATGTCTTTAGATTCACAGTAGGAGGTTGGTCTTTGGTTAGTCTTTTTTTTTTTGCTTTTCCCCTTCACCTGGCATGCATCTTACAGATCTGTCATGGCATGCTCTGGTCTCCTCTGATCCCTCATAAGCGTAAATGTCGGTCCATTTTCCCTGAAGCCTCTACCATCTAGCTGTAGTTTTCAATTGAAGCATTAACAGAAAACCACAAATTGCTAAAAAAGTTGTTGACTAGCTTCTGACTCCCAATAGTTAATTTTTCTTTGGGGTTAGACCTGCAAAGTACTGAGTAGCTGTCAAAGGCATGTTGGAACTCAGTCTTCTGCCTAACATGACCTCCTTCTTCTAAAGGAATAAAAAAACCCCACTTGCATTCAATGACATTAATGAGAATTTTCCCCCCTGCAAACATATTGTAACAGTGAAATAACATTAAAGTTTCTCTGCCTTGTTATGAAGTCTTTAAATGTCAATGCCATTTCTGAGACCATCAGGGCAGACTTAATGGCGCCCAAGGTCAACAAATGCTAACTGGTACCTCTCTTTTAGGGCCTTCAGAGACGCTTAATAGAGTCTCAGCCGTGAAGTTAATTTGTGATGTAGGCCTTTATTCTTAAACCTGCTCCTGATGATTATTTTGTACCATCTGCATTTGTGTGCTTAGATTTCTTAACATTCTCTTGTCTCTTCAGTCAATAAAACAAACTCCTAAAATAAAGAAATTCTCAGTTATTTCATCTTTTCAGTCTTTTTGTTCCTTTTTACTTCTGTTTATGAGCTGCAGAAGGGTAGGTGTATGCTTTCTGTAGACCACCCTAAGCTGCCAGCTCTGATAGCATCCTGTAAGAATACCTTCAGGTCTGCTATCTTCTCCTGTCCTAGGGGGCTGGGGAACTGGCCGCCTTGAAAGCCTCTTTCTGTTGGTGCCCTAAATGCTATGCTAGCAGAAGCAGGTGAGGTGGGAAACGAGATAGCGTGTAACCACAGGATTCTTTTACTTTCCCTTTTCTGTAATATTTCTTCCTGTTGCTGGTCATCCCTTTATGTATTGTCTAATTTAGATTAAAAGGGCTCTGTAGCCTTTATTTGTCTAGAAAATATTGCAGACAAGGGTGGCACAGTACAAAAATAAATAACAAAACTCCATCTTTTTGGCAGCATGTTGCATTTCTGCTCAGTTGCCCTGCCAGCCCCTCTGACTTTAAAATATTTTAATGTCCTGCACTTTTCACCCAGCCCAAGCACCAGACTTTCCTCAGACATTTAGCACTGACATTAATGCAAACGCCTCCAACTCAGTGGGCCCTTTGGGGCAAAACATGACATCTTTGGCTTTCAATCACATGGCAGAGAGGATATATTTGTATCTACAAAACTGGAAATAATAAAATATCAGTATTCAGGTGCTAATCCATGTTAATTTACATTCTGTGAAGTCTACAAGAAACTTGTAATTGGTTGTCTTGAAGGACAGCAGAATATATTTGGTATTTTGTTTATTTATAAAAAAGAATTTAAATTATACATATAAACACTGCATAGATTTGGATTATATCTCTCTCCTAATCATTTCTGGATGCTTCCTTGCATTCCTAAGTTCCAGTGTTTTGGGGCTTGCTGACTGTCATCCACTCTATGTGGACAATACCTGTCTATTGTGAGCATTGCCAGAGTACAGATAATACTTTTCTTTCCATCAGTGGATACCAAATTTCCCTGCTAAATCACTTTCACTGCAGTGGTTTTGTTATCATTAACAAAGCTGGCTAATGTAATTAAAAAATTAGATCTTTGTGAAAGGTCCCAAAGGCTGCAGGAGTTGAAATTCGGTATGTTACTGAAATTAATGCACAGGTCTAGCAAAAGAAATGCGAGTGCCTGATTCACTGCTGTTCTGATGTGCATAAAAACTCAAATGCTAAACTGCCTAGATGAACCGTAGGGCAAAGATACTCCAGGATGTAAGTAGGATTTTGATGTCTGTTACATAATATCCATGAGTATAACAAAACCAGTAGAATTTGCTTGCACTGGCTTGACAAATGTGAATTACAGTTGCTTTCTTTCTCAGAGTTTTATCAGAGTATAATCACTTGCCCAGCTTAATTGAAAAATCACTTAGGTTTATAGCTGAATTTAAACATGTTTTGTATTTAAATGACAGCTTTTGATGTACAACCATTTTTTACAGAAAGTAGTTGGGTTTTATCTGTGTTTCTGTAAAGATATTTCAAAAACTCTCATCAAATTTCCAGCAGTAAGTAATATCCCATTCAGTGCAAGGTGAAATGTTTTACATCAAATCTCCTGCTGTGTAATGGCCAATCAAAGAGTATTTATAGTGGCTGAATGGATTTTTTGGCTCGGTATTCAAAATTAAACATTTTCAAACATTAACATTTAATGTTTTTTGCCACTCTTCAAGTTGATTTTATGTAACCCTAGATGCTCACAACTACTTGATACTCTGAAGCGACTCATTTTATGCTAAGGATCCTGCAGGCAGTAGTTTTACATTTATTACACTTGTGTAGATGGAATGAAATGTAGATTTGATAGCAGATTCGTGTCTATCTTCTGATAAATATTTTCTTGGGTTTGGCTGTATGTCCATCAGCATGATGCAGCAAGTCTGCTTCTGACAGAACACATTTACCAAGCGAAATTAATGAGCAAAGATAAATTTTGGTAATTCACAGGAAACTGTTTCTCTTATTGCAGGTATCCAGTACGAAGAGCTCATGCCAACAACCATCTCTGGAGCTAGATGGTTCCTACTTGGGTATTGGGGGACCTCAAACTTTCTATAAGAACAGTAGAGCATCAAAGGCTGGAAGCCCAGCCCGTGTTGCATCATTTCAGCCTTGCAGGAATAATCAGAATCACGGGACTGAAATCCATTACAACTATCAGAAGTGTCTGAAGGAATATCCGGTAGAAAATGGCTTGCACAGAAAGTGTAACAATATGATTTCCCCAGCCAAGCAGAGGAGCCCTCATCGTGTAAAACCAGCTCAGGAGATGGACCAGAAAGCAAATGAATTTCAGAGCCCATGCCCTCAGCAAGTGAGTCACGGTTGTGCCTGCAGGCATGTAGGGAGCTCAGGGAGCGTGCAAGAGAGCCACCATGTCAGCCAGCTACCTAGAAGACACCCTGGGCCAGTTCACAAAACCTGTGATTATTCTAGGTGCTCTGGAGTTTCTGGGCTGAATGACAGCGTGGACTCAGGGCCTAAAGAAACAGAGCAGGCTAAAAGGTTGTATGAAGAAAGAAGGCAGAAGCTGCTTCTGCAGAAAATGGAGCTGGAAATTGAAAAGGAACGACTCCAACATTTGTTGGCTAAGCAAGAAGCAAAACTGCTCCTAAAACAACAGCAACTACACCAGTCCCGTATGGATTATAACAGGTGATTTTGAGACTTACAGTTAAAAAAAAGATCTAAAATTTCTAATGAAGACATGGGCAATAGTTAAAGTGGGAGAATGGAACTGATAAGATAGGCAATACCTGTGGCACAAATTCTGTCTAACAGTGATTTAGAGGAGAGGAGACTTTTTAGTATACTAGCATATACTGTTGGGAAACAGCATGACAGCTGTGGAAAGCAGCACAGGAAAACAGTATGTGGTAGAAAGAAAAGCACAAGAAAAGCAGTGCTAAAAGACCAGGTAGGAAAAGAGGAGCAGTAGAAGAAAATTGGAGGCTGATCTTAGTGCAGGCACTTCAAGGAAAACAGATATTTGACAAGAGAGCAGTGTGAGCATGGATGACATAGATGTGGCATTCCCCCTTCTTTCCTTGGAGAGGTCAGTTTTGAAATATTGCAGCTTCCTATGTAGGGACTGGAAGAAGTGTGTTTTACAGAAAACAGGGAGATCATTTTATATATATATTGAATATATGTATTTTTTCCATATATATGTATGGAAAAGGAAGGGAGCCCTGTGTAGTGAGGACATTTTCTTTCCAGTGATCTTTGTGGATGGGAGAATGCCAAGACTAAGGCAGAAGACATGCTTAAAAACTAAAAGAAGGGAAAGGCAATAACTGTAGAAATACGGAATGTGGCTTGAGAGGCCCTGAAAGGCCTGTGAGCTTGTTGCAGAAGGTGAGATATCGCCTTCCTGACAGTGTAAATGGGGAGTCTGGAAAAGAGGGAGAAACTTTTATTCGTATCACGTTACTAGAGTGGAGAGGAGCAATGAAAGGGAGCAGGTTAAAGCAAGTTGAATTAGCCAGTGTAACTCAGTTGAGTACTAACATTTCAGCATTAGGAAGTGAACAGTGGGGAAAAATCTAGCAGTCTTTTAGAAGAAGCAATAGGAGGGTTTCACAAGGATGCTTATTTTGATACAGTTTTAATATGGCAGCTGCTGACAGCATCCCGTGGGAGCCTGTGTTACAACCCGCTTCCTATATTCACGTATCATAACCACCATGGAGGAATATATCAGTTTCTCTTCTTAATCCCAGCCCCCTGGTTACTTTTCAAACTCTGAAAGAGAATACTGTAGGTGGTCTTTTGTTTGTTATCTTGGATTGTGGCTTAGGTTGAAAATAATGTGTCTATGTGGCTTTAAAACTGCCTGTCTTTAAAAGCAATCACAATTGTGTGTGTTGAAAATGACTGAGGTCACAAGCAAAGGATTATGACTTCATGTGAGAATTAAGTAGGAACAGATGGATTCTTAATCATCAAATACCTTAATTCTATGCATACATCCCTCTAATGAAAAACAAGTAGGATATGAAGGACATACAGAGTTGATGTTTTTGTTTCTAATGGATATTTTTCAGCATTTAAGGCATCATAAGCCCAGAAAAAAATGGACCATAGGTATATAACGATGTGCTTGTTAATGCCATTATGTCTATTTTAGCCATTTTTTTCTGAAAAAAGCTTCATGGTTTACAGAGCTCTAGTTATAAGGAATTCTGTGAAAGAAAATCATATATGATCAATCTGAGGGCTCAGTATTTTTGCGATCTCTTTTCAGAGGTATTAGGTGAAAGCACATTTGCCATATTCTCTCTATGAAAAGCAACTAGAATATAGCGTGCTTGCTCTTTAAAATAGTCAGTCTCTTTAGAATTAAATGTTTGATATTTACAGGTAAATCTCTGAGGCATCACAGTTCTGTTTCAGTTCAAGGTGCAAAATTCACTTTTACACTTGGTAACAGGGTAATTTTATATACTACAAACAATAAAAATTTGTTTAGCTAAGCTCAAAATACCCTTTGCTTGTCAGGAGGCTCTTAACCTAGTTCATATCTTAATATCATGACAGTTTAAAAAAACAATGCAACAAAAATCTATTTCCAGATAGTGTTTGTTTTTGTCTGTCCTTCTGCATGTGTGGAGTGCTGGTTAAAGTCCATTCTCAGCTGCTGAAAGTATTGTCACTGAATGACAAGTAAAAGGTCTGACCATTTGTAATTATTGGCTGTTAACTCTTGTGCTCTTTTAGCAAAAGTTTGAATTGATCCTTTTTTGGCCACTCATGCAGAGTTACATAAATCCATTTTAATATCCCACATTTCCCTATTTAGCCTCAAGCGAGCATAGTACTTCCAGGTTGTAGTTTCTCTCTGTGTGAAATAGTTGCTTGGCTATCAAAGATGGTGTGTGTACAGGGAAAGGGGCAGTTCAGTGACTCCTCCTGATGCCAACCACACCAGAGTAGACAAATATGGGTAAATCCTGGAAACAGGAATTTTATTCAAATAAAAAGGGAGAATTACCTCTATTGTTGACTTTCTATCTTCATTGGAGAGAAAAAAAAAGGTAGGGTAGCTATTAAAAATGGAGCATCATCTATGGGCCCATAGTTTTGGGAGACACAACCATCTGAAATGAATTCTACATTTTATGGAGTTAACACAGGATGCCTTTGAGCTCTGGTGCTGCTGGAGCTGTAATCTGAGCCCAATAGGGATGTTTGTTATTGGATACTGTGACCATTTTCTAAAGGGAGCAGGTCCTTGGAAATCAGGAAATGAAATTTTTCTAACCTTTTTCCCAGTAGAAACCCTTAGGAGCAAAGGCACTGGACATTAAGTCAGCCTTCCAAATACAGATCTACAAAAGTGTATCTAAAAGTATGAAAACAGTTGTGAAAGCTTCTGCATTAATGTGATTAAGTGCCCTGTTTGTAGACAGACAGCTCACCTTTTTGTGGCAAGTTCCTGGTGTTGTGATTTGCGCAGCTGCAAAACCAGCTAACTCTGCTTTTTCAGGTTTAGAGGCCACGTACCAGGTTCAGAGGATGTGCCCATTGATGAAGCACCTGGAGAACTTGCTCTGATGATGAACGGCAACAGCATGGGCCTAAGGTAATTTCTTTCTTCACTTCTAAGTACTTCACAGTGTCGGTATATCTTCTTGACAGTGTGCTGTTAGCTGCCAAGTGTATTTGTTCATGTGTTTGTTTCAGATTAAGAGCTTTTTTCTGCAGGAAAGGTAAAATTCATTGGCTGTTGCATTTTATGAGTCAAATCAATAGTTATGCTGATCTTTTATTACTCAAGGTTTAGGGGTTGACTTCCTGTAGAGGTCTCAGGTTTTGTGTGTCATCTCTTAAGGACACTAACCTAGCCCAGTGCAGAATGGAGTTTTTTTCAAAATCTTAGCTTTTGTTCTTTTTTCTAGGTACTGCTTGTTATTTTTTCAATTAAGATCAGAATATCGCTTTAGTCTTAATTTGGACCTGATGTAAAAAATACGTTATCCTTTAACGCCCAGACAGAAATGATCTTTTACAATTGGTGAGAGTTACTTGTTTTTTAAACAATGTTGTGTTGCACCTCTGCTTCAGTGTGATCACCTCAAACTACCAGTGAAATAACTGGAAGTAGAGTTAAGCCAGTATTTAGCTCTTTATCTCCATTTTGCATGCTATTTAAAACTTGAATCAATATATTATCGTGTTTCCTTTCTGTCCCACTGTCTCATTTCCTGTTACCACTGGAAGAAGATTCAGGCTTATTAGAAAAGCAACAAATAAAAACTGTGGATTTGACAGGGTTTTTCTCCGTTTCTTATGAAGTAACAGCTTCTTGTTCTGTGCTTTAACTATATCTGTTCTTTTCACCACAGTATCCCATTTGGTGCACAAGAAGAGCAGCTGTTCTTTGAATGGCCCCTTCTTTAGTGACAAGAGTAGACTTTAAAATAATAAGCTTTTCTGTCCGTTATGAGAATACTGGAAGAACTGTTAATTTATTTATAAACTAAAGGTCCGATACTTACTTTTTTTTTTTTACCCTCAAGTGATACTGATTTTATTTTTTTGAGATCCCTCTTCACTGAAAAGGGGTAAGACTTCTTTCTCCAGAACAACAGGAGTTTTCCTTGGAATACTTCATTCCTTAACCAGGTGTTTGGCTGCTATGAGTTACCGGCATATGCTCATTGTATTCTGATGCTTTTTTGTTTCATTTTCATACAGACTGAAGTGATCAGAGTCTGATCACTGTAACAAAAGAGATGAAGAGTCATGATATGTTTAAGATCCAGTAGCATTAAGCCCCTTGGAGGAAAAACGTATCCTAGAACATCTGTAGGGCATCTTGGCAACAGTTTATCAAAAACCTGCAAAAATCTACATAGCCTAGCAGGGAAAATGAAGCAAACCTGTGCCGTTAACAAAATGAGAGTTCCAGATTTCAAAAGGTTCCCCACCCTCTCTTCATTCCCCTGGTTTAATTTACTGTAATTTTTCAACGTTAATATGTGTTGTGCAGTGTCAAGTTGCCATGCCAGCTGGTTCCAAAGTTTGGCAGCAAAACACTTTGAAGTTTTTCTTCCTATATGCCATCTTCAGTTTTGCAAAGGTTACCAGATGAATGCTCCCTAAATAATTTACTCTAATGTAAGCCTGAAAGCGGCTAAGGAAGACAAGTCCATTTGTCTCTTTTATGCATTTGAATATATAAGTGATGTTTTCTTCAGTATTGAGGGTGTTTAAGTGTGTAGCTAGAGCTTAGAAAGGATGAAGAGCTTGTAGGAATACATCCTTTTTTAACAGTCTCTTTTTTGTTTTTTGGGGTTTTTTTGGAGGGTGTGTGGTTTTTTTATTAATTGTTTTTTAATTGACCTGCCAAATGGTTCGTTACAGCAAATGCTATCAGAACCCTAATGGAAAACCAGCCCTCTCTGACTTCCAGTTCATACATGAGAGCTCCTCTAAGCAAACCTCACAGCATGAAACTTGATGTCAGTCTTCAAATAAGTAAAACTTGGCTTAAAAATATCCTGGTATTTTAAAGGAAATTATGAAAGTCCTTTAAAATACTAAGCTTGCTGAAGTGAAGTATTGGAGTTTAGAAGTAAAATAAATAATATAATCAAGAACTGAAAAACATAGGGTTTTTTATAATTAACAGCTCATTTTGAGTTAATTATCTACAATTACGAAAATCTAATTGCAATTTATTCTCTGCTATCTGTGGGAAGAATCGTAGGCAAGGGAATGTGCATCACTGCCAGGCATAAATGCTATAGGATGGGTACAAATAATAGAGGAGCCCTTAATGAAAAACAAAAAACAAATAGGAGTGTGCAGCTGTGCCAGGCTATTGAAAGGTAATTGTAGTCAGAAATGAGATATGTACTTTAAAAGGCATCTTGTCATCTCCTGTAGGGATTAATTTTTTCCCTCCTTGAAAAAGGAAAAAAAAATTCCACGAGCAAATACAGCACAGAGTTTGATTTCTGATACAAATTTTGGTCATTGTCTGTCTGTGAAAAGGAAGACTTTTACCTTGGGGACTACTGCGGGCTATAGCCAAATTTTCTAATGGATGCCTGTTTCATTTTCTCTTCTAAATGTGCCATTATAGTTTTTTCATTATCAAGGTCAGGAAGCGTTGTCCATCTTAGCCTCTTTGGATGGTCCCGGTATGAATTTGCGGTGTTGAACTTGTCACTTCCCTGCTGGCTATGTTGAGGAGCTGTTGGGCAGAAATGTGTCTGTCCCTTCGCCTGCTTGCATCTGGGCCGGCGCGTGGGACCTGTAGAGTCATCACATGCAGGATCTCCAGTTCTCTAAGGTGCAGCAGTCAGAGCAGGTTTTATTGAGGATGGTTTTCAGTAGCTTGGAGTGCTCCTAAGTGATCCCACAGCCAATTTTCAGCTATGGAGATAGTAACTTTTACAATTAATGGCAAGTTGTCTGGTTGTCTGTATAATTTCTTTTCAAGTCTGCCCCAGTGTGCAAGATGCTTTAAAATATTCAAAATAAAAACATAACCTGATGCATTTGTTTAGCATAAAACAGCCTTTTACAAAGTGCTTTCCATCTCCCAGGCACAGATGCTTGGTACATGCTCAAGTACCCACTCCGTGCATATTCAGTGGGATCAATACACCCGGCACCTGCTTTTGTGTGTGCTCCCGACGTCTGCATCTGGGAGAGGAATTTTAAAACAATCCACTCTTCTCTCCTTTATTTAATCTTAACTTTGGGTCTGAATGTCATGGAAATGAGACCTGTTTAATAGCACCAACTAGAGAAGATACAGCTTGCTACTTTGCAAGTACCACTCCCCAGAGCTCAGCTGTGTGCCCAAATCGTAATATACAAGGTTTCCTGCTTTTCTGATTCTTAGGTTTCCTATACAGCTCTGCCGGTACAGCTTTCTACTGCCTTCTTTCTAACATGCACCTTTTCTTCAAATTTCACACAATATTGCCACTGCACCTCTACACTGACCTGTGCAAAATGTTGTAAATAGAAATTGTTGGATACAGCAGCCATCGGGTGGGTTTACAGTTATCTGCAGGCACTCTTTCAGTGTATGTTACCTGGTTAAAGGATTTCTTTCCTGGAGTGTTAAAGACTTGCTGCTGGAATTTGCCACCTTTAATTTCATTGAAGGCTTCTTATGTTTGCGTGCTTCATTCTGTATCACCCATGTGTTTTTTTTTTCAAGTTTGTATTTTTAGTTCGTTGAAAATATCAAACACAGAATCCAGCAGTACTTTCCCCCTGTTTGAATGCTCATTGCTATGGTGATAATTTCCAGGAGGGAATGCTGTCAGGGGTCTTTTAGAAGATTTTTATGTTTATGGTGTAACTATTTTTATTATCTTGTGAGAGAAGGTGACAATTATTTCTTGCTCCTTGTTTAATGCCTTGTTATGAACTCTATTTTTTTTGTGGCTTGTTAGACATGCAGGCATCTTCCTATGGTGATGTGCAAGCATACTTCTGTGTTTTTGCCCAAATATTCAATGCAATTAAAGACGTGCAGAGGAACACAGACTCGCAGCTCCCTCTGCTGTCCCAGGCATATCCTGGTTTGTTCACACAATCCCCACCTCCAGCTAATTTAAAAATAAAATAAAAATCACATGCAATCACAAGTCTCTGCCACCTCTGACCTGACTTGTGCTGGCCCCATTACTGCCATTTTTGAAGGGAACTGATATTTAAAAACTGGTGGATTGGTAGTACCCATTTTGTTTCCTATTTGGAGTTTTCTTGTCAGTTGTTCTTCATGTGGGCATGCATCACCTCCTGTTACTCTTGTCCGGAGCCTCTGCAGTAGAAACCATCACCACTGCCACAGCTGGCTCGTTGGCCAAGATCTCCCAGTCTTCAGTTCATCTATGAGTTGTCCTTGATCTCTCGAGGTGCATCTATATTGTACTTGGCCAACTTTTAGGAGTATACTGAATACAGTTTGTTGGGATTTTTTTCATCTATTTGCTGTTTTGGCAGACTGTCACATTAAATCGGGCTGAAATCAACTGTGCTTGCAAATGGCCCATAAAATCTGTGTATCTGGAAGCTGCTTACCCACTTGTTAGCGTTCCTTTTAACACCCAAGTTACTTTCTTGTTCCAGATAATTTTACATTGAAGTTTGTATCATTTTTAGATAGGATATTTATGGAGCGAACACTTGTTTGGCCAGTAAAAAAAGTGCTTGCAGATCTGCCAGTAGTGCAAATGCTGAATTAGGTACAGATAGGACTTTTTCTTTCTCTTGTGGCGTTGTCTGGCTGTATATAGGCACAGCATTCCTCCAACAGATGGCTGCTGGAGTCTGTTGCGACGTAATGGGAGAGTATAGTCGGAGTTAGATATACATTTTTGCTTCATTAGTGCCACATGAAGACTCTGAAGGTATTAGGTTTTCTTGTGCAGGCTGAAGGCTTTTGTTTTGATGTGGTTACTAAAAGCTTATTGCCGAATGGGGGTGTGTGGCAATTTTTTACATATATCAATGCGTGCTTCCTCCCCCCCACTTTAAGGTAGGCAGTGATCCCTATCAGACTGGGGAGCGAGGAGTTCATTTCCACTGACTTGGTTGCTTCACTAATCTCAT